TGTGTGTGTGTGTGTGTGTGTGTGTGTGTGTGTGTGTGTGTGTGTGTGCGCGTGCAGACTGCAGTTCCCTGTGTTCCTGCAGGAGCGTTCAGCTGCCCTCTGGTGGTCACGATGCGTCCCGTCCCAGCTGCTCTGTTGGATGCAGCAGTGAAGGTCACTCATCTCAACCCACTGGCACATGGAGCTCCTGTACACATAGGAGATCCAGGTACACACACACTCACCTGCAGCTCCTCTAACAGCCAGCAGAGGCAGCAGTGAGTCAGTCTCCATGTTAAAACCTTACAGCAGAGAAAACATGTTTACAGGATGATACACAAACTGTTTGGCCTCTGAGGTCTCTTCAGAACAACAGTTTAGGCTGCATTATTAGGGGCATGGCCTCTGTGACTGACAGGTGGATGGTGACACAGGTGGCTGTTGCTGCTAGCTGCCTGCTAGCTTCACCTCAGCTAATCTGAACAAAACTCAGATGATGAGGCTTCAAAATGTGGTGTCGAGATGACTGTGGCCATCTTTTATATACAGTGTGTCTGTGTGTGTGTCTGTAGCTCTCCTCGGCATCCAGGACCTGTCCAGGCCGGATTATGGTGATGCGGTGGAGCTGCAGCCTGGTGATGTCACAGTCTTTTGGGCGTGTGGTGTGACCGCGATTGAGGCGATCCTCAGCAGCAGTGAGCACTCTGATTGGCTGATACTGTGCTTACATCACAGCCTGCAGAGGACCTGAACAGTTTGTCTCTTTCAGAGCCTCCGTTGGCCTTCAGCCACTCGCCCGGCTGCATGTTCCTCACCGACATTCCTGACTCACCTACTTCCACCATAACTCCGCCCACTGAGGCCAAACCCCATCCTGAGCTGACCCCCCTGTGCTTCCAGGTGTCCCAGAATCCCTTGCTGTACAGCCTGGTCTCTCAGGGGACGGCGGCGAAGATCAGACAGCTGGAGGTGATGATCGGAGAAGATCCAGGTAGAAGGCCCAGGATGCTTTTTTTTAGGAGCGAATAACTGAGCTGATGATGGAGCAGGTAGAGCCTGATGAAGCTCCTCAGGTGTTTCAGCTGAGTCCATGACTAAACTTTTTTCTACAGAAAAACAAACAGGCCATAAAAAACCAGCTGTGGATTCTTTAAAGTCCTCACAGTCTGCCAGTTACACCTGTGCATGGCGTCCACGCCGCGCGCACAGACATGTGAAGCTCCTTTACTGTCATACAGGTGGTGCTGCTTTTTATTATTGTGCATCACAGAGGCTACTACACCTGCAGCGTGTTTAATGAAGGGACAGTTTTTGGGGGTTTTCTGCCAGTTTACCTGCAGACTGAACTTTAGTTGTCCTTTCACCTGCAGCCAGAGCTCCTCAGGAGTTTCATGCGGTCGTCCTCCTACCTGCCCGTCTGAGCAGCACCTGTCGGGTCGCCACTTCCTGTTCTTCTTTGTTTGAACGTTTGTGTCTGTGCGTCTGCAGGTGAGCGAGGGATCAGAGCTTTATTCGTTCAGGATGAACTCCTGCGCTCCTGTCTGGCTCTATCCCATTCCTCCTCTGTTGCCATAACAACGGGCTTCCCAACACACTACATGCACAGGTACACACACACACACACACACACACACAGCTTCCTGGTTCTGTGTGACCAGGAAGTTCAACATCGGATTATATCAGACTGTAAACAAATGATGGCGGTGGCGTCAGAAGCTGCCTCCATCATTTGTTTGCAGTCTGTGATGGGGGAGAGGTCACGAGTAACGCAGGTGATTCTCAGCGTTTGCGTCTCCTCTTCAGCCCTCCCGATGAAACCGACGGCCCACCAGGAGCAATTGCCATGGCAACCATGCTGCTGTCTCTGGGGAAACAGGTGACCATGGTGACGGATCGCCGGGCGCTGGAGATGAACCGCACCATCATCGATGAAGCAGTGAGGACGGGTGAGAGTTTTAAATCTGCTCTGGGATGAATTTAATTTAGAAATGTTCAGAATGAGAAAATAAAATGTGACTTTCAAAATAAAGTGCAAGAAACTGCTGTGATGTCACCCTCAGGAGTCCTGAAGGATGCTATCCCATTGGTCACATTTGAAGACGGTGGTCCAGACGCTGCGCGGCACTTCCTGTGTCACCATGGAGACCCTAACAAGCCCAGGTGAGCTGGCGCGTGAGGCACCTTCATAGATGGGCTGGATTTGTTGGTCCAGCTGAGCTGTGCATGATGGGAAAAAGTCCAGTTTACTAGTCGCAGTCAGAGATCAGCAGCTCTCCATCACAGACCTGCTCCACCCTCTGCAGCGAGTCCAAACACACGTGAGGACTGTCATGTGACGAGTCACCTGACTTCAAACCCCGTGAGCCCATAAAATAACGACATGTGGTGTGTGCAGCAGGAGTGCTGCTGTGACCAAAGCAAAAGGACACGTGTAACATTACGATGATGTCATCATAATGCAGAAAACCTCAAAAACAAATAAAAAGCATCTCTGAGTGTTCGGCTGAACAGAGAAAAAAGAATCTGCAGGTTTGTGAATCATCAGACCACACGTGAGCCCAAACAACAGGAAACGTGCACAGACTGTTCTTTAACTTTCTCATGCATACAGCCCCCTGTTATTCACACCTGCACAGGTACAGCTGCAGGTTCTAATGTGACACTGATGCTCGTTACCAGATTTGACCACCTGGTGGCGATAGAGCGCAGCGGACGCGCCGCAGATGGGAACTACTACAACATGAGAGCAGTGAACATCAAACATCTGGTGGATCCCGTGGACGACCTGTTCATCGCTGCCAAGCACATACCTGGAATCGGCACCACAGGCGGGAACCCTCCCACCATCTGATCATTACACTCTGTGATAAATCCAGCAGCCAATCACGACTCAGCCTTACAGGAGACTGAACGATTTGTGTGTCTGTGTGTGCGTGTGTGCAGGAATCGGTGATGGTGGGAACGAGCTGGGGATGGGGAAGTTGAAGGAGAAGGTGCAGAGCCTGATGCCCAAAGGCGGCCTGATCGCCTGTGAGGTTCCTGCAGACCACGCCGTCACCGCAGGTACGGCCTCTGCGAACACAGCAGCTGTCGCAGCATCATGCTGCTCACTAGTGTGAGCTGCAGGTCAGTTTGAACTAACCCTGTGCTCCATCTTCTCTGACCTCCTCCCGTGCTCCTGCAGGCGTGTCTAACTGGGGAGGCTACGCTGTGGCCTGCGGGCTCTACCTGCTCCACACCTGCCCAGCACACCTGCGCTACCTGAGGAAGGGGCTGGGACTGGAACCTGTGACCTCCACGGAGCAGCTGCAGGACTGGACCACTAACCTGCCGTCTGTGGAAAAGGTAACACACAAATGCTTAATAACTCATTAACAAGCACCAAATGTGCCCCCGCAGCCTGATCTGGAGCCTCTGTGCCTGTAAATACTCACAGCAGGAAGCTAACGTGAAGCTAACGTGACTTGATTAAATAGACTGTAGTTAATGCTGGCGGACGATCTCATCTCCCTCTCTCCCTAAATCCAGGAGGAGTCCTTCCTCTCCACTCTGGTCCGGTTTGGGATCCGAAGCGGGAAAACTGGTCACCTGGCCATGGAGGTGGATGGCCTGACCTTTCACCCCACCCACTCTGACATGATCACCAGACTGCTGGAAGCGACACGAGGAGGGCGCGGCACGTTTTAATCAGAACTCTTTATTATTCCCTGATGTGATCCCAATCCTGATGCAGGGAAACACAGAGGAAGGAGGAGAGGAGTGTGAGGGTGCTTAGCTGCTGCCTGGTAACCGCTCAGCCTGCCTTTAAATGCTCACAAAGCAGAGTGACCCCCGCGAGATGCATCGCTGCTTGTACCGTGTGAGCAGATGTACAGATTTTATTGCAGCACTCATCATCGTTGATGAGGATGATGAGGGAACATGTTTGGGTCGAGGCTGTGAAAGGCTCCACCCATGCCCCACAAATCAGTTTGTTCTGGAAGCGCCTCAGGCCACGTGAACCGTTTGTGCTCCTGCAGCTGGAAGGACGTCCACCTCGAGGTGCAGAGCTGAGGGAAGCAGCTGAAATGTGTCTCGACTGTCAGTCAAAGAGGCCACGCCCCCATTAATGCAACCTTTAAACCTTAATAATGATAATAATAATAATGAGTTAATACAAGTTAACCTGGTGTTACGAGGGAGAAAATTGTCTCTAGAGACAAAACAGTTTGTGCATCAGGCTGCGAGCAGGTTTCATTTTACCTGGGAGTCTATGGGACCGACTCACTGCTGCCTCTGCTGGATGCTGGGGGAACTGCAGGGTAAAATCGTCCTCTCTCTGTGTTTGTTTGTCAGTAAATGAGCTGAAGATGATTTATATGTTTTGTAGAAATGAGATATGAATAAAAGAATCTGCTCAAACCTGGCATTAAACAGCTTTCTTTTATCTTTTTTGATTCTTTCTTGGATGATTTGCAGATTTTCCTCCGTAGGTTGGAGTTTGTCCAAACTTGCAGGAGCTCCATCAGCCTTAAAAACACTGAGTCAGTCTTTTCTGGCTGTTATTAACATGCTAAACTGGAAACAGAGCGACGCTGAGATGTTTCTTATTCTCTGATACTCGATGAAGAGATTTAATTTGAATTCAAAGTAAGAAAAGCATTTTTGTTTGATGTTCTGCTTATCCAACGGAAGGACATGCATGACGCCCCAGAGAGCAGACATGCTGACATCTACATACCTGCTGTTTGTGAGGGGCAGCCAATCAGAAGGTTTTCTCAAAGGGGGTGGAGATGGGCGGAGCAGCCTGTTGTCTGTGTCAGCACTGTCGTGTAATGATCCAAACACCGTCACACCTCCATCCTACAGCTTCACGACTGAGCCGTGCTGCAGGTACACTCAGGACTAAACGTGACAGAATAGCACAGACCTTTATCAAACAGTTACTGCCTGTTTACCTCAGCGCACTGTAAGCAAAGCACTAATAAATGTGCATGAAAACAGTTTATTCAAAATAAAATCATTTCTTTTTCGCTGTTTGTTTTACTTTTCCAAATATAAAAACTACATATCAGAATTTTATTGTGTCAGATTTGCTACATCTGCAGTTTTTTCCTTAAAATGTTATTTTTCTGTTTCTTTAGGTTTTCGAGGGAAACAGAATCACTCTGATGATGTAGACAGAAACTGTCTGTTTCTAATATGATGCACGAGGCGTTCAGCGGTTAACACCTGGCGATTCACCTCTGCTTTTATTGTGTTTTTATTTTCAGGCCTGTAGAAAGTACATTTCATGTGACGCATCAGAGCAAAGCTCAGATATGATCGTTTCCACTGGAGGGGGAATGATGTCCTGATTGAATGTTGGATTCTGTAAATGTGCAGAAAGCTGCAGGCGAGGCGCGCTGACGTGATTGAGTTGGAGGAGAAATGGTATCGAGGAAGGTGGAGGAGGATGGAGCGCTGCGCTGCGTGATTACAGAAGTCACCTTTAAACACGCTCAGAGGAAAATGCGCTGCCCGGGTCACACAAGTCCGACACATCCTGGCGCCTGCATCAGAACGCCGGCAGCGCTGCGTCCTTTGGGTCCACGTGTTATTAATACTCACGTGTCCACGCCGCGGCCTGTTCGTGCTGCTGGCTCTGAAATGAAAACAACAACTGCTTCACAGAGAAAAAACAGGTCATTTTATTCTGTTGCTAGGCAACATGATGACATCACTATATCTGATGTAGTTAAAACCTTTTGGGGCCTGTGACGTACCTGTGTGGCAGCTGTGTTTCACCTGTTGGGTAAGAACAGTTGTAATCACCACTGCGGAGGCCTCTGCAGCCGGGACGAGCACACGGGGATCTGTCCGGGCCTGCAGTGATGGTGACGGCTGAGCGGCCTCGTGGTTTTGTTTAGTGTTCGAGCAGCTGCATTTCTGCAGCCACTTGCTGAATGTACAACTCACCACAACACAGGAGGAGAGGCGGCCCTCAAAGCCAGATAATGACGAGTGTGGTGAGGCGTTTTCAGTGGCTGCACCTGAGTCGATGCGGGCTGATGAGAAGATAAGGTAAAGAAGGAATCAGCAGAAATCAGACCTGTAAGCAAGCTGACTGACACATCTTAATGATGTCAACAAGTGCTTTAATCAGCTTACAGAGATAAGCTTGGATCATTAATGCTCCCCAGGGAACGCAGGAGCTGCAGACGCCTGTGAAAAGCAGGGATCCTCTTACTGTCCACGCGCCGAGCAGACAAGATTTTCCATGAGAGGTCACGCCACACATCACAGAGCTGATTAGTCAGACTGCAGGCTGAAGAAAGGCTTCTTACCTGCATTCTCTCTAATGTCCAGCAGGGGGCGACTCCTCTGACGTCTGATTAGATAGAAGTCTGAGAGAAATGAGCCCAGTGGGCCGATTCCTGATGAGTTTATGGGCTCAGTCGCTGCTCTCAGGTCTGACTGAATAAAACAGGAAGTTCCCTTTGGACATGATGGTCCTGTTGGAGTCAGAATGGGGGGATTAGGGCGGGGCTAGCTTGTGATTGACAAGTCTGTCCTGTATGTGTTGAAGCAGCGATGTAGCTGTACTCACCACTCAGGTGTCAGTTTGTGTCGTCTTTATGAAGGAAGCTTTCCTGCACACTTCAATTTGTTCATGTAAATGAGTCCTCTTCACACACTGAGATTAACTACGGAGTTCCACAGGGTTCAGTGTTAGGACCAGTTCTATAATAACAACAATAATAATAATAATAATACATGTTATTTATAGGCGCCATTAAGACCCTCAAGGTCACCTTACGATAGCACAAGAACAATAGCAGCAATAAAATATAATAAACATTGCAAAATAAGATTTAGACATAAGGTAAAACAAAACAAAACACAAGCATGAAAGCATCAAAGCTGAGCAAGGTAAAAATGGACTAAGACAGTCTAAGACAGTATGCAATCCTAAATAAATGGTTTTGAGACAGGATTTAAAAGTAGCGAGTTTGTGGTCCGGAGATCTGGTGGAAGTGCATCCAAAGTCTCGGGCAGAACAACTAAAGGCTCTGAGTCCCCATCCCTCAGGTGTCGGTGCGTTGGTGGTTCTTTGTGTCTGGGGGTGGGCGTCCAGGTACACACCGGCTCACTCCTTGGCGGCCGCTTATCGGGGCCTGGAGCCTGGGGCTCGCTCGGGCCACTTCGGAGGTGGGGTGCCCCCGGCCTCTCGGCCTGGGGCTCGGTCACTCAGGCACAGCTGGCTGCCGGCGGAGCTCACGGGCGCGTCACTGCAACTCCCCCTGGCTTCTGCTCCGCGGCTGCTGAGTGAGCCCTCATCTGGGACTCTCCTCAGCTCTTACTGGGACAGTGGCGCGGCTGCCCCTCTGTTGGTCTTCCTTGGTCTCTTGTGTTCTGGGGGCCTCTGGATGTCTGGAGTTTTGATCTCCTCCATACCTGCTTCACGCCCTGGAGGACGGGGCTGTGGCCCCCACACTCCCTAGCAGATCTTACATGGAGAAACCTTTGGAATACAAGCTGCTGATCCACACAGGTATGCACACGGGTGTTCACTGCTCGTAGACCTAAATTACACCTTTCTTGGCTGCTACTTCAAAACATCTGTCCTGCGTGCTGCACAACAACATTGAATATTTAGTATTTACTGCTGTTTACACTTAGCTAGATTAATGCGATGGTGTTGTGTTTAGTATGTTGCTTTTTTGCTTTTGTTTTCTATTCTTCTCTCAACAGGTGATCCAGGAGATTTTTTTTTTTTTCTCCCCCCCTTTCTCACTGTCCCTCTCCCCTTCTGTTTTTCCTTTCCTTCCTCTTTCTTTCTCCCTTTCCTATCCCTCACTCATGTCTGTCCCGTCTGTAACATCTGAAATAAAATATAATAAATAATAAAAACAAAGATCGACCAAATGGACCAATACGGCAATGCCACGATGATCCATTTGGCAAAGTAAATCCATTGGGTATCCTTGTTGGTCTTCAGACAACAATTCTGATGGCTAAAGAACCAAATGGGACAGGCGAAAAAAAAAAAAAAAAAAAAAAAGGCTCTGAGTCCCAGGATAGTCAGGCGAGCAGGTGGAACAGACAGAACGAGGGAGGCGAGTATGTATGGAGGCGATCAGATAAATATGGAGGAGCGAGGTTATGAAGCGCTTTGATAGTAAGAAGCAGGATCTGACACGGAGGTGAACTGGAAGCCAATGCAGCTGTTATATGTTCAGTGGATGTAATTCTGGAAACAATACGAGCAGCTGTATTTTGAACTAACTGCAGTTTATGGAGAGATTCATGAGGGACTAGAAGGAGCAGATTTCTCCTGTATTGGCTTCCTGTTAAATACAGAATTCAAAATCCTGCACCCCACATACAAGGTCTTAAATAATCAGGCCCCTGTGTATTATTAAGACTGCAGAGGACATGAGCTTCATGTTTCACCAACCCAGCAGATGACAGATGACATGGAAGGATCAGTTCGCGGTCACACAGTCACATTCATGGATAAGTGCATCCTCGAGTACACCACAGAAGAAGAAGTCCTACGCTCAGTCAGTCTCACAGCTGGTGAATCCTGTAAAGACGCTTCAGGCTCATATTCCCAGCTTGAGTCTGCTCCATTAGGTGGCTAGAGAGGGTCACAGGTCACAGGCAGGAAGACACGCCCTCTGACCTGTGAGGGGTAGGCCTCGACAGACACTGCTCTCGTCTTTCTGTCCTTACACTCAGATAAGATTGGTTGATCTCGGCAGCTGCTCCGTGGACCTCGGGGTATCATCGACATGTTTGGACATTAACTAAGCATCACAGCAAAGCTCAAATAAAACGCTGTGAGCAGCTGATCAGCGTGCTCGACAGCCAGTTTAAATAAACCTGTAAACAAAGATGGGTTTGAGGCCGACTTCAGCTGGATCTGTCTGAACGAAGGAGGAGCTGCATCTCACAAACAAGCCCTTTATCCTTCAAAGAGTCCATCTGCAGCTTCATCACAGCAGAACACCACCCACCTTCACATGATGAAGCAGGCCAGCACCGGGCTCTTCCTCACCTTGGACAGTGTGGACAAAGAAACCACAGAGAGGCAGGAAGGAGCTGTTATCATCACCACAGTGGGTCAGTCTCCTCATATTTAAACGTTTCTAACTGAATGTTTACTTTCAGTCAGAGACACAAAACCAACACTGTGCCAAGTCAGACCTGCTGTGGCGCCCCCTTGTGGCAGTGAAGAGCCTGAAAGCAGCTTTTTCTTTGGATGATCCTCAGCATTAATTAATTCAATTTACATCGGGATCTCTCCAACATTGCAGTCTTACCAGGCGGCTCCTCGATCTCCGGCTGGCCACAAAGAGCTGCAGCAATGAAGAAGCAGAGACTGTAGATCCTGACTCTGTGTGCATATTTCATTTATTTGGAAACACATATGAAAAGCTTTTGATGGATCTTTATCACAGAAACATGTAAACAAAGATGTGTCACTGACACACTCGTCTCGTTTCATCAGGCTGTCACGTGCAGCGTTGCAGGTACCTGACCGCAGACAGGTTTAGGACTCAGACGGGGTTTCCTCACCACTCTCTGTGTGTTTACTCTGCATCCAATCATTAGTTATGATGAATCTGTGGCTCTCCTCCACCTCCGTCACTTTGTCCTGCACTGTATTTACTATCACAAAAACACATCTCCAGCATCTTTACGGGCATCTCATATCACTGCTGCAGATGATGTCCTGTGGTACTGATGCCAAAAACATCTGGATGGCTGCTAATCATCTCTCACTTGTCAGAAATGTAGGTGTTGCATTTACAACGACGTCCAAGCTGGAAAGAGAAGTGCTTTTTGATGCCTTTGTTTCGTGCTGTGGCCTTGGTAAGTCGTCTTCAGATGGCCTGTGAACGCTCCAAAATGCTGCTGCGAGGCTGCTGATGATGTCCTGTCACTGGCCTCGTGACCTGTTTCTCCGTCTGTGCTAGAGATGGACCGATCCGATATTACGTATCGGTATCGGTCCGATACTGACCTAAAT